TTTTGTGATGTCACACAGACAGGCATCTGAGATCGGCTCGATTTGAGAAAGGGGTAAAGATTTTAGTAGATTAAAAAAAACACTGGGGGGATCTTTATCATTATAGGATGGTTGTGTACACACACTGCCAGCACACATTTCAGTTCAAACAACTTGTAAAAGTGCATGTAGCATCATATGACCCCTTTAATACCGGTTTCAGCATGAAATAAACATGAAAGAACATCCAAAAGTATTTTAAAAGAAAGAGCAAAACTTACCGAAATCCATATCCTGACTCATGTAAAAAAAAAAAACATGAGAAAGATGATAATAGCTTGTAACAATGTGTCACGTAATGCGTCACATTTACCACAGAAAAACATACTCGGTGACCATGAACTCATCAGTCAGCTAGAAAAATTAACTCTAGAGAGGAGCATTTTGCTAAATATGCACCATATAACATATTCATTATACTTTTTTTTACTGTTCTTCAATGTTTAATTAATGTTTGAATAAATCCGTCAAGTTTTTGTGACAACCACCATTTAAATTTTTTATATTTCAAAAAACTAATTGGAGTAGAAATATAATTTGTGTAATTTAAAGTTAGTATTATAACTAACTTTGTATTATATAACTAAGTTTGTATACAAATCAGCAAATTTCAACCTTCCGTATTATTGACTCTCATATATTTTACAGCATTAGTTGAGAGATTTTTTTTCCTTAAGAAAATTTGCCATGTCCTGTACCTGATATGTATCCAAAATAATCGATATTGAATCGAATCTAATCGAAATCGGAATCGAAACGAATCGCAAGCTTGTGAAGGATAATCAAATCGAATTGTGAAATTTGTGTCAAAACCCAGCCCTAGTAATATGTGTATACATTTTTTATTTTAATATAATAGTTTACTAAGCTGAAACATATTTCAATCAAGCAAGGCTGTTAGGAGAAATTCACACTTATGCTGGCTATAGGTTGTGCATCAGAGTCACAGTTAAAATCAATATAAATGAATAAATAATTTAAAGATAAATAAAAATAAAGAAATAAATTCTGTATTTATATTCTGTATTTATATTTCTTCTGTGTGGACCCTGTGTGGGCACAGTATTTCCCTGGACCCTGGTTGAAAATGTTGAAAAAAGTAAAAAAAAAAAAGTTTACCAAGTTT